TCCTGTGTGGTCACTCAGTGCTTCCTTTTGGCGGGGTCCACATATTAGTACCTGGAGAATTTGAAGTAGTTCCTTCACCCTGTACTGTTTCCTTCTTCTCTATCTGCACAGAGAACAGGGTATGTGGACACATTATGTTCTAGACAGCTTTCCTGGATGTGGCTTTGACATGATATAAACACATTTATGAGTCCGATTTCTCAGTCTGTAACATGGGAAGAATACTAACTATCTCTGTGCATTGCCAGGAAATTAAATGCACAATTATGTAGCACACAATTATGTAGCACAATTCTTGGTGTATAGTAACAGTTAAAGTAGACAGTAGATATTGGTTTATTCCTAAATGTAGCTGTTCAAACTCTGAACTTTGTTTTATAGCAAAATCTTAGGTTGCTGTTTTCTTTTCTACTTAATTAGTCTTTAAAAGATAGTGAAATATGTTGGCTTAGAGATTTAGGGGTTGGGGACTGAAATCTCACATATTTTTCATTGAAGACAAGTCATTGCTGATGTAGGCAATTGATTTCTTTGTACTTTTTTTTTTTAATAGCATGAATTGATTGTTGCTTTAACTCTGCCACTGAACCAAGGAGTTGAAGTAAATGCCTCATCAGCATTTAGCTGCAAGTGGAGTCAAGGAGAGAATTGAATTCTTTGTTTCTTTACTCCCTTTTTCTCCCACCGAGGCCAATTCTTAGAAATGAATACCATTCTGCTCAACTAGTGTCTAAGGTGATCCTTGAAGGATTAGAGTTATGTTTAATTTTATAAATAGTGACATCTTACCTTGGCATAGTGAGTTACCACTTATAAAATCCTCTCTCATTTTACAAAGCAAAGGATTTTAAGATCTGTGATTTTAAATTGCTGTTCCCCTCATTGTTTATCTCTAATCACTGCTGTCTACAATGCCTGGTGTCTAACATATACATGAATAAAAGTAGCCCTTAGGGGTTGGACCCAGAGGTTAGCATCATAATTACTTATCCATTTACAGAAGAAACTAAGTCTCAGGGAGATGTCACAACTTGTATAGGCCACCCAGATGGGAAGTGGTGAAGACAGGGCTTCTACCCAGTGGCTTTCTGCACTGTGGTCTATTCTTCAGGGTGGGAAGGAGATGTGAAAGTTTATAATGAGTAGGCTAGTTTATGATTATGAAAAGTAGGTTCCTGAGGGTAAAAAGAATAAAACCCATCCTGAGAGAGGATGGTAAACTCTACAGTGGGCTTCCTGCTCATTCCAGTCCACTTGCAGGTACCAGTGAGGAGGGTCCTGGTATCAGGAGAGTAGTAACCTATGCCGAGCCACGCTACATGGTGGCGTTTTCGTCTGTTGGGTAGCTACTATGTATCAAACAAGATACTTTAGAAACACTGTCTTAAATACTCATATTACCCAACAAATAAAGTATAATTTAATTTACACTCCAAGAGATGGTTGGTTCAGAACAACTAAAAGACCTCTTTTATCTCTGTAGATGATTCCCTTAGGAATTTTAAGAATTACTCCATTTAAGGTCGGAGGGCTAGCTCAGTGGTCTAAGCACTGGCCTGGCAAGCACAAGTACCCAGGTTTAATCCCTGGTACTGCAGGCTAATGCTGACCCCTCCCTGGGTGTGCTAATATGCCACTGAAACCGGGTGCGGTGGTGCACACCTATAATCCCAGTGCTGGGGAGGTTGAGACAGGAGCATCACTACAAGTCTGAACTGCGTAATGAGACCCTGTACCAAAAGAATAAAGAAATAATTTTAAAAATTAAGAATTATTCTAATTTTAGAATAGTTTAGAAAAACTGGTTAGTTAACTGACAGCACTCTCAGGTAGATCAAGTTTTCCTCTTACACCCTGACCATAAGGATACCTTTGCCTGAATAGATGTTCACTCGCCTCCTGAGCCCCGCTCTCAATTGAGCTGAAGGACTGGTTGGTGTGAGGACAAAGCTGACACCACCCTTCCCTGCTCAGACATGTGGTTATCACAAAGGCTTCTGATGTGGCGCCTACTTTACCATGCCAGTGAGCCTTCAGCCCCCTGGGGGAACTTGCTCCTTGAAGTACCCAAAATGATGGTACTGTATGCTGCCATAGCCAGGGATGAGTACTCTGCACCTTGAGGCAAGGTCTCTGAAAGAATGTGGAGTCATCACAGGAGTTCAGGGCACACACTAAAAGTCCCTTAAAGCATAGGCAGAGACGGTGGAGGCAGCACCAACCTAGTCCAAACTTGGGGGCTTCTGGAGTAAAGAAATCCTGGAAGGAAATCCAGCAGCATTGAAAATTAGATCAGAGAGTCCCAAATGCATCACAGAGAGAGATGATCTATCTGTGGCGAGAGATCAGTTCTGGTTTTTCCCAATCTGTTCTTCACCAATATTTGTAGAAAACACAGTAGAAATAAATTACTCTTAATTTCTGCACTTATCTCATGGAGGACCAGCATAGGAAGATTTGGCATAGTCCAGGGACCACACCTTGACCAATGCTGGTAAATTCTGAACACATTAAGAATATTACAATTGTATTCACAGTAGTTTAGGACAGTATTTATAAAACATAAATTCCCTGTGTAGTATATATGGCAAGGAGAAGTAATAGGCACACAAGTTTAAATGTTCAGCTGACCAAATGCTTTCAACTCCATGCATTTCTGAGGTGGAGCAGCATCTTTACAGAGCACACAGACTCTGTCCAACACTATCCTTCTTTGGTGTCTCTAAAGTTGCTGTTGTTTGATTTTGGCAGTTTAAGGCTCATACTTTGCTAAAGACCTAGATTCCACCTCATGGCCTAGAACCATGGTGCCAGCCCATTGAGGCTGTTGTGACAGAACCCCCACAGTGGGTAAGGTCTAAAGAAAAGAGGTTTGTTGGGCTCCTGAGTGTGGGGTGGAAAGCCTTGAAGCAGTATGGCACTATGCCTGGCTGTGTTGCAACGTGGTGGAGAAGTAGAAAGAGAACTGGCTGTAGATTTTGTGTGAGTAAGGAACTGAGACACTGGGAGGGCTGAGCTTGCATTCCTGTAGCAGTCTGCTTGTGAGGGAATCACCTGGTCCTGAGGACCTGCATCAGTCCCTTCTGAGTGTGACCCCCTGGCTGCTAGCGTGACTTCAAAGTGGTCACCATCTCAGTTCTACTCCACTGAAGCCACTCCAGGGACTAAACTTACCCAGCCCAGAGCCTGTGGGAACTGGCCTGAGCTGCTTGGTGGAAGGTGGTGGCACCAGTTGCCACCTACTCAACCTAGTAGCACATGGTGTATGATGGTATTTTCTTCTAGCAAGGGTCTTGGAGTAATCTAAGAAACTATTGTTGCAAGGCATATATTGGTCACTGTGTGAAATCGTTACTTTCTGTTGTTGTTCATTGGGGTACCTCTTCCATGGACAGAACTGACAGCAGTAGATGTCATGCCCAATCACATTTTCTCAGTCCCCTTTGGTACAGCACATGGCTTTGATCTGTAGTTCATCCTGTGCATCTGTGTACAGTAGCGAGTGGCTCCTCACATAAAGCCAAATGCAGAATGCTTTGTAGTTCAGTCATACACCAATTAACTGTTATGTTTGGTGAGCTGATAATGCTTGGCTTCTTTAAAATGAATGGACTACAGAAGATATGTATAAAAGGGGCTAAATCTGTTGATTACATTCTGGGTATTGGATTCAGTTGTCATCAGACTGAGCTTGTTATCATTTGAGACTCCTGGCTT